TGAGGAGAGGATTGTGGAAGCAATGAATGCTCGGTAAAAAAGGAAGACTGAGGGTGAAGTCGGTGGTAGTTCGGCAATGTGACAGAACAGAGAAGGGCAGGGAAAAAATGGTATTGAGAGAATGTTCATTTACATGCCAACAGGTGTGGTGATGTTATTGGTTTTTGTAGAAGAGTTACAACCTTTATCAAATTTGAGGATTTGAACTTGTGTCTAGCGAGTTGGCCAAAAAAATTGTTTTTTATTTTATTTTATTATATATTAAATGATGAGATATATAATAAAAAAATTTATATATAAATCAGAAAGGGAAATGATATTTGTATAACTTTTTTATCTTATCTTTTTGTACAATTTTTTTATTTTATCTTTTTGTATAACCTGACGTGTCATTAAAATAATTGGTTTTTTAATTCATATGAGACCCATGATATTAAATGTATCATTCATTTAATGACATGTGAAAATTATATAAAAAGGTAAGATAAATAAATTGTGTCAATAACACCACAAAAAAAAAAATTAACACTATTTTACAAAGATAAAAGAAGTAATAAAGGAAACTTTTAGTGACTTTATTTTTTTAAATTTAGGGGATTGGTGTTTGAACCTAGTTTTCAGTAAGCGGTGGAATCAGGGGATTTGTTTTTTTCTTTTTCTTATCTCGTAATTTTATACTTTTCATTTTTGTTAGGCTTTACTAAAGGATTTTTTTTTTGAACAATTTGTAATTATCTACAGGTTAATTAGGGAAAAGAGAAAAGAAATTCCGTGAGACTTGAACATGCAATCCACTGAAGGTGAACAGCCCTAACCATTTAATACCATTGGATGAGAGCGGACCGTTCTTTACTAAATTGTAGCCTCTTTGACCTTCTTTTTTATTACTTCAACTTTGGTCTTATCTTTTTATATCTAAATTTTTTAAACTTGAGGTAGGATACATATCCAACCCCTCCTATGTCAATTCAACCCCCGTTCAAAATCTTTTTAGCAAAAATAAAATGAAAAAAGAAAATAAGAGTTTGATTTTTTTTATTTGAACTATATTAAATTATAAAATATTTATTTTTTCATCTAATTATTAATGTTTTACAATTAAATACAATTTAAACCGTAAAATACTTTTTTTAAAAAATAATTACCTACCATCAAAAACATAAAAGAACCATATATTTAGTGAGTTAAAATCTTCGGTAGATTTAGGTTTCTGCTCCCAATTTTCATTTGCTTCTACTAGCATTTTTAAAATCAAAGTACTTTCTCAATGTATTTTAGGTCTCTGCGAGTTGGGTGATGAAAATTGGAACTTTAAGATGGTGCATGGATTTATTTTGGACACTTTCTTTTCCAATGGAATACTCCATGTTTCACTTTTTCAATAAGAAGTGTTTTCCAAATTTTGCCGTTGGATTATACTAAACTATGGAACATTAGGCTTATATTGAATTATAGAACATTAGCTTTTAGATTAAAAGGGGTCTCTAATATTAACAATACTATAGTTACAATATTATATAAAGTTATAAGTTAATAATTATGATATGATATTAAATAAATATAACGTAATATTAAACGAATGAATATATATAATATTACATATAAATTTTTAAATGAAAAGAACTAATTATATAACGACATATCATAAGTTATAAGTTCAAAGTATCACTATGTAATGTGGTATTTTCATCCCAATATTAAGGAGGGATCCCATTGATGTTTTATAATATAATATAATCTAAATGGCAAAACATTGAATTTCTTTTTAATATATCAAAAAAAGTTCAAACTTACATCTTAGAAAAAAAAAAAAAGAATTTGAAACTCGTACAGTAAAATTTGATGGTCATGGGATCATTTTGAAGCTCATCTCTCGGATTCATTGCCACGAACTACTAATTTGAAGGTAATTAGTGTTAGCCCCACCATAAATAGATATTGATTTGATATGATTTTTGAAGTTTTTAAATTAATTTGAGAAAAAAAATTTAAACTAATATATAACAAGTCAATTGTTCGTAAACAATATTAAATTTATCATTCTAATAGAATGACAGAGATTGGGAAAAAAAA